GAGCTTTGATTTTACCCGTAAACCAGACCGGTTGCCTGCCCGATTTTATGGATTTCTTGGGGATGCATTCCTCCATAAAGCCCTGCAATAACGTCTTGAACGCCCACCATTGCTCCTCTACCGTCAGCCCACGGAGCCGCACCTTCCAGTCGATGCCTGAAACGCATTCGCGTAGTCTCTCGAAATTAGCCTTCTCATAGTTGTAGGAAACCTTCCTCGGTTTGGCGTTACTCTTCGTCCGCTTGATATTCCACATGATCGCGCAGTGGTCCGAATCTCCCAATTTATCCTGTACCTTAACGTCTCGTGCCAGATCGTCGTTCGTCGCAAAAACTAAATCCAATAACGCTTCCTCGCGAGTCGGTTCGTTTACGTACTGAACGAGAAAAGCGCCCTGAACCGCAACGAGAAATTCCCTATCCCTTTCGCACCCCCCTTGCGGCACCGACAAATCTATTTTTGGCATGTTAAAGTCTCTGAAGAGCAATACCTGCTTCAAGATCTCGCCGATCCTACGCATGAGTGCAAAATAAGCTGCTTCATCCTCGAGAGGAGTTAGGGAGCCTGTAGCAAATTCCTATCACGATCTTCCCAGTTGCCCCACCGATCTCGCACCATGTGTTCGATTGCTCCGCAGTTAGCCGAGGTGAGATCTTCTCTGATGCGAACGCCCAGTTCGGTTTTTGCGTACAACACGACTCCTCCCCCCTTTCTGCCGAGCCTATCCTTCCGCAAGATGTCGTACCCTTCGATCTCAAATTCCTTATCCGAAATGTGAGAACCACCCTAAGTCTCGGTTATTCCGATTACATCGAAACCGTTGTCCAGTGTCCTCCCCCTGAGCTCGTCTATTTTATTACGTAAGCTGCGTGAATTCGCGTAGAAACACTTGACTCTTCCCTGCCTTTCCTGCACACCAGTGCGCGGCGGTCTAAAGCTGCTCGTATTGGCTGTCCCTTGCGTGTGATCCCTTGTCCCCCCATCTACAACCCTAAAAAAGGCTCATTTTCCTTCATGATAGCCAATCCGACTGCTACAGCTCCCTCTCTCGAAAAATGTACTCCATCCCTAGCCATCGGACTTCTACAGTGACTCAAAGCCTCCCTAGTGTCCAGAAACAGTCCCCTCCGCGATACATAACTTCTTCAACCCGTCAGTAACCCCTTCCGACCTGGACCATGTGATTCCTCCCTTGTCTAGCCTGCTCGGGATCGCGCATACCGTCACCCGCACCCCTGACCTTGCCTTGATGTCTCAAAGCCGTCACGATTTGAAAATCGAAGGACGAAGATTGTACAGTATGACATCCAGAATGACCTCTGAAGTCTCCACGTTTGTGGCCACGCAGCCTACTCTCCTGCTGTCAAGGAAATGCCCAACATATGACATTTGCGTGATTCTGCGAAAAGAAACACCTTCACCCCTACTCAACTATGCCAGTCTTGTCCACGTACTTCTGTGTCGGCGATGTTCCAAGTTTTGATATTCCGTGTCGGCATAAATCTGGGTATGTTCTCGTCGAACCACTTCCGCATTTACTTAATCCTGTCGGTCTATTTCCGACATGCAGTTTTGTCGAGGCTATTCCGTTCGATGCCGTTCCGTGTAGATGCACTTCCTAACTAGTTCCTTCTGTGTAGATGCACTTTCAGTTCGATACTGTTCTGTGTCGACGTAATAGTTCATCTTCCACCTGACAGCTTGTGACGTGAAAGTGAGATGTGAAGTATATCATAGACTCGGCGGTTCAACACATATTTATTCCGTATCTGACACCACGTGATCTGCACCGCACCTGCGAATGATACCGCCAGCACTTGCGAAGGGAATGAGAGATGAATCGTACGTGCCTGATCCATACTCCATGCATACCCTAGCCTCGATGAGGGAAGTTATGGCCAAAGTTCATGCTTTATCTCAAAATCTCGGGGTACTCTCTCCAGTGAGTAACCAAGTCATCTAATTTGTACAAACTAGAGCATTGGTTTCCAAAGCTCCTTTTACTTGCATGGAACCTTCGAGCGTCCAGTGGTACTCGTATCACGTTTTGGGAACCCCTGAACTAGAGGGTAATAGATACGTTCGTTGTCCAAAAATCCTGTGTAGATGGTGAACGTGAAGACTCTTTTGGTACGAGTAATCGCCCTAGTTGAAGAGGGAAAAAGTCAGTGAAGGATAACATCAAAGAAGTTGAGAAGAGGCCTCTCGTTTCATACTTGGTCGATAGAGGCGAGGAAGTTTCAAACGAAGTGATGGGAGCGTTATTATTGGCCATCATTCGAAAGATCTTTGGAAAGATGGTCTGTTCAATTTGGAAGGAAGCATTGAGAAAGGTCTCCTCGCGTCCCCAAACAAGAGAGTGCATTCGCTAGTGACGGTTTCAATAAGTGGTAGAAGGCACTGGAAAAGTTCGCCGTTCATTAGACCTCATTAGACTATTTTCTCCACTTTGAAGATACTTGGACGGCAAATACTAAACATTTCGAATATCGATAAGGGAAAAATCTACTCGTATATACGAGCTGCGGATTGTTGATGAGTAATCGTCTCTGTACTGTAGTGCTGCAGATCTGGCATGTCTAAACGCAACCATTCTAGTTAGAGGC